ATGCTACTCATTTAAATGCTGAAATAATTTGGTCTACTAGCTAGAATCTATAGTGATTAGGCAGCTTCAAGACTGCACCTAATACAATATTTGAATAAGGCTGAGACATGCCAAAATTTCTTCCCTTTAGTAATGGGGTTCGAGATGACTGTTTTTAGGTTCATCAGTGCCATTTGCCACAGAAAGTCACCTGGTGACCCAAGACTGAGTGTCAGAGAGATAATAATGACCTTTTCTGTATGCGCTTATAACTACGCGATGAATTAGCTGGTTTTTGTCACCTTTTTATACTTAATGGCAACTCGAGTTATGTAAATTCAAATCAATAACTATAATATCTGAATTCTCATTACATTCTTGGAGAAAAAGAATTCCTAAGATCACCTGGAACACATACAAAATTCTAATATATCGCCAGCATTTCAGATAAGATATACTGAGCATAGAAAGTTACTCTCGACAAAAGTACTGTTTTTACAAAGAAAACAGTTATTTGGGTTGTAAAGAAAGGCAAGCTGAATATGTTCTAGCATGGGCCTCATGCATTGTTCCAAAATCCAACCCGCATCTTCGGAATACCTGTTGCACAGCCTTTGCGATAAAAGGCAGTATAGATTATAGGATCTGTCTTAAGATATTTCAGGACAAGCCTGTACTTTTCCCACCCAATATTTAACGTCCAGATAGAAAAAAACAGACGACATCAAGTAGTGTTTACTATGCAATATACCTAAAGGCCTCTATCAGAAGCATAGAGGATATATGCTATTATTGAATAGAAACTAGATACTAAAAATAAGAAAGAAAATTTAGGCAGGATAAGGACTAATAAATATATTAGCCGCATAGGTAAAATGATGATTTCTTCTATAACCACACTGATGCGAAAGCCTTCACTTATGCACCAACTCAAAAATCAAACTAGTAAGCATTACCTTATCAAGCCAGTTAAAAATATTAGATATTTAAAAACTAAGACGAAATTAGCTTCCAAATTATCGTATCAATCAGATAAAACGCCTAGTGATGGTCAAAATAATAAACATAGTTGAACCAAGGAGAAAAGGCGTATTTTAGGATCGTTAACATTGTGAAAAAAACTGAAGCGGAACATATAATGGTCTGCACTCTGAGGAGTAACTTTGATACAGAGCATGATATGTATGTCCTCTATGTAAACCGAAGCATAAAAGTGATTAGAACGAAATATTTAAACTATAGTGGTAGAATGTAGATATGAAGAGCAAGATGTTATGCCCTCTATTTTGGTCAAAGCCGCCTTTCGACATATAGAAGCGATCTGACCTCGTTTTCGCAACTTAGTCGTGTTGTCCGGGTGACTTAGACGCACCTTATCGAAATCCTATGCTATAGTAGTTATCATAATTCCCTGAGTCTTACCGTGGACTTGCTACATTCCTAGATAATTCTCTGGTATCGTGGTCGGCATTCTCAATGAGTCTTGCCATTCTCAGCACCAAGCTACAGTTCGTCAAAGAAACAACATAAATCAATCTCTTTACTAACTTTCTGCCGAAATGGTTGTGCTATCACTCCTATTTCTGTCTAGCTCTATCTATCTCTTCCCTACCCTCTTATCACACTCCCATCCTATCACAACTTCTGACATTTATTTTCCACTCCTCAAGCGGTGTGCCCATATCTGGTGATTGTCTTGCTCACCCCTCTATGGATTTGCTGATCCGACCCCTAGTCGGATCTGCCCTACGGGCCGGTAGACTCATTTAATATCTTTCTGGATGACCGATTTCACTCGTTTATAGAACCAAAGAAGGTTGTATTCCAGGCGCTATTTATCGAGCCTTCAGTATTCCCCTCACTGAGCAGAGAGTCATCTCCTCGATCCAATCCTTGTAACCAGATAAAACTGTTGGTATCTATCTCTGGTCTCCTGTTGCCTCTCGAAGAGATTTCTAGTCAATTTAGCCGTGATGCCGAATTTTTGTGACGTTTGTGATGATCTGTCTCTCACTTGAATCTGACATCAATAGTTTCCAAATAAATTCCTAAAAATTAATCTTATTTTTACCAAGCTTTATTCTGGTGAGCCAATGTAAAAGGTGTCTACCATTAAAATCTCGACACTGTGCCGAGCCTACCTTAGAACTTAACAAATAGAGAACTTTTGTACCATCAAAAACTGGAATTTAAACCAAGTAAGGGTTTAAGCAGAAAGAACTCCTGACTACGAAATCTGCATGGCCCTGTCTGCATTACAGCCGCTGTCTCTCGCCATCGCACACAACAGTTGGTCGCCATGTCTTCTACCTCACCTATTTAGCTTAGAGGCCCGCGCATGGAAAGTTCAGACCCTCATCTTGTCCACAATCGTGTACCCTTAACAACATCGCATCTTCAACTAAGCGATGCTTCTTAGCTTGCCTCCTCTGGTGCATGCCAAGTATACGCAGGCCACTTCCTCTCTTTCTGCATCCGCTATAGTACAGGTCGATCGGACCTTCGCGTAAGGAGGACCGTGCTCAGCCGACGTCCATGTCACCAAGCAGTCTTTCAGCCACTTTTCGCTGAGTCTGAATCTGCAGGACTACAATCGCTCCACAGAAGCTATGACTTTACCGCAGGATTGGCTGCGGCACCTGCCATCACCTTCCAGAGTTGGGTCAACGCAGCTTCTCATTCTTCATGGTGTCTTCGCGTTGGCTACACCAACAAGCTACGTTAGTTGTCTTGCTTTAGCTCTTATTCCTGCTATCATCTTCATCTGCCTTCATCACGGGCACATCTACAGACTCTATATGTATTAAAACCAAAAAGCTTTTTACACTTGATATTTATTCGACTTCAACGCCACATTCTCAAATTTTTTATCTGTCTCATTGATATCAAAACAGGTCCCAAGCTATAAATAGTTAAAGATGAGTTGGTTACTTTAAATGTCAATAAAAAGAAAGATATAAAAGATTATAATTCACCAGATCCTATTTCAGCATCGACTAATTTGGCATCCCCAATAATCGGTAGCAGGCGATGTGGAGGAAATGGATGACGAACCCATTGGCCAATCAGGTGAGCGTACCTGGAGTCGCCCGGATTAACGCAAATTGCAGTGTCGGCAAGCATGGTCTCTAGCCGGGTAGTCGCTACGGGAATAAAGGAGCCAGACAAGCTAAAAAGACAAGAAAAACGAAAAAGAATCCAGCTCATATAATTGTTCTATTGATGTCCTCGATCTATCTAGGACCATTGTCGGATCCATTTATAAGGCAATCTAATTTGAAGACAATCCAATCTAATCTATTTGTAGTGTTGCGAAAAATTTGTGCAGATCTAGGTTATGGCATCCTAATAAACAAGGTGTAGCAATCTGTCGTGTATCCAAATTAACCAAATACAAAGCCAAACAAATAGTTCGCAACTAGAATAGAACTGATTTGACCTCACCGAATATAAGGCTTAATGTTGATTGTATAATGGCTAGGCCATTAAGCATAGGAATGAAGCATGTGATAAACGCAAGTGGCACCTACTACTTGTTAACTGGATTAGTTGAGTAGACAAAAGGATTTTAAGGAATATATATCTAAATGAGCATTTATAAATGTTTAGGATGCTCAAAGAGTATAGTTCTAAATTAGCTCCACTAGAAGACGTTTTAAGAATTCATTTTATTTATTTATTTATTTTGAAGACGGAAATGCTTCTTAAATTAGCTTTACCTGAAGGAGAAGGGAATTTTCGTCACTTTGAGTCTGGTGAATGATGTTTTATTCTGAGGATTACTGCCATGAGATACGAAAGCTCAGGACGGGAGGATTTAGTTAAGAAAGTAATGTCATGGGCTTACAGGCCGAAAGAACAAGCATAACTTCAAGACTATCTTCCTTCGGCTTAATATAAGGCCAATTAGCAAGTCTATCAAATTAAACAGTTTATAATGAATTAAAAAGTTAAATGTAATTATTAAGAAATCCTTCAAAATGCAGCATATCATCAAATATATTCGTTACAATAGAATTTTTGACGTGTATACACTTTAACGCATTTGTAAATATATGATTAAAAATTAAAACTCTCGTCGTTAGTATGGGATAAAAGGGCGTCAGTCTTCAAAAGAAAT